AAATATTCTCGCTTCACTAATAGACGATACAGACTATGAAAATAAAATAAGAAAAATTGAAATACTGTTTAGTTTGATCGTGGCACTATTGTCTATGTCAATTGGACCGTGAAAGAAGATTTAATACTGGTAACTGAAGATGGTAAATATCATCTAATTGATATATTCTATCATAATAACAACAATGATGAATCCATTACATTAAGTGAGGTAAGTATTAACGTTAACTAGTTATGATTTTTTTTAATTTTATTTTGTTATTTTATTTTCATAGTCTGTATCGTCTATTAGTGAAGCGAGAATATTTAATGCCAAATCTGGTAGTGGATTAATTGCACTTAAACGAAATCATGAAGGTTTTATTGTTGTTAAAAATGTATACGATCCTATAATTCAAACAATATCAATTATGAGTATGTTATATTTTCAATTATAAAATTTTGATTAAATAATTATTTTTTTTTCTATCCTTCAGATTCTGATGTACGTTCAAATTTAACGATCACAGCTTGGTGTGTTATTGATCATATCGATACAACGATAGCTTATGCATGTGATAATATGATTTACACGTGTAATCATAGTAGTTCAAAGAAAGATCAGGTAAAATGGTGATATAGATGTATATATAATAATAGAAATTATTTTTTATTTGAATTTTTCTTTTTAGCAACAGATATCTGGTATTAACGATACAATAATTAAAATGGTTACATCATTTGACTATCAGACAATAGCTGTATTAAAGCAAAATGGTGATGTTTTAATTGGATCAAAATCATTGACACATCCATTTACCTTAAAATTTAATGGAAATAATGAGAAAACTCGAATAACAGATATTGCATGGTTCGAATTTAAACTTTGAGATGTAAAACTTTGATTATATTTTTGTTTCGTTATTATTGAAGGTGTGGAAACGAAGCCATTATTGCTATACGTTCAACGTCAACAACATGGTATGATCTACTTATACTCGATAGTAATAAATCAAAAGCAATAACGTATGTGTCATGTATTTTATAAATTCAAATTATTTATATTTACAGGGTGACCGATAAAAAACTTACCCATATGTATTTATTGACTTTCTTGTGTATAAATATAATTGAACTTTTTACCATTAGTTTATTTGAATAGAGCAGAGTTTTTTAGACAAAATGAGACGTCTTCGAGCTCTCTAAGAACTTTTTTCATGAAGCAGCATTGAATTTACGGAAGGTCCTAAGAGCATATTTTTCTTGTTTGTCCATTAATTGTCCCGATTTTGGTGGTAGGNGGACCTTCCGTAAATTGAATGCTGTTTCATGAGAAAAGCTCTTAGAGAGCTCGGAGACGTCTCATTTTGTCCAGAAATCTTTGCTCTATTCGAATAAACTAATGGTAAAAAGTTTAATTATATTTGTACACAAGAAAGTCAATAAATACACAGAGGGTAAGTTTTTTTTTTGACCACCCTGTATATCTAAAAGTTAATCATTTTTGCTGAAGGATTTAGTTCATTTTCTTCCTGTTTTTGTTTTTGCAGTTAAAAATTTGAATTAAAATGTCTTTGACACTTTTAGACCAACAAGTCGAGAAATAATTACTTCCGATACGTATGTAAGATGTTTTTACTAACTTTTTCATAGACTCATTGAATTTGTATTAATAAAATAAAACTTCGCTAATTTATTATTGCATGATGTACAGAAACTATCTTTATATCAATTTTTTTAGGTTGTATTATACAACATATGTATGGCTATTTCCGGAACTTGATGGTGTGCGAATATTATCTGGTGATACATTACAATTTTTTCAACGTGTACCAAAAGAATTATATAATGTATTACAAGTCATATCCGAAGAGCCTGGTGCACAATTGTACAATGCCTATATTAATTACAAAGTATAACCACTTTACATGGGAGATAATTTATATATTTTCTCATAAATTTTTGTTTTACAACTGCTTTTTTATGACAGAAAAGCTTAAGTTTTGGGAACTTGAACTGATTCTTACTACGCGTGCAGTCCTCAAGACTTCCTTTCTGTAACATTTCTCTCAACGCGGTTGAGAATATATACGTCAGACGTCGCCGAAATAATCCGGTATTTCGATCTTCAGTGACGGTCACCTATTCACTTTCTAATCGTTGTCGTGACGCTTAACCAGAGAAAAGACAAAGTCATTGTCACAATTTCTCCATAAGTCATGCGAGTTTAGTGCGGTTAAAAAACGAAAATGATTTTAATATTTTCTC